ATCTGTTTAAAGAGGAGGAGGATCTCAATGAGCCCAGCAACCTGGAGGAACCAGAACCTCTGCAGATGAAACGGGAAGAAGAGGAACCAGAACCTCTGCAGATAAAATGGGAGCAAGAGGAACCAGAACCTCTGCAGATAAAACGGGAAGAAGAGGAACCAGAACCTCTGCAGATGAAACAGGAAGAAGAGGAACCAGAACCTCTGCAGATAAAACGGGAGCAAGAGGAACCAGAACCTCAACAGTTCAAAGTGGAAGAGAAGCAACTCTACATCAGTCATGATGAAGAGCATCTTGTGCTGAAACAGGAGACTGATGACAAGTTGGTGATTTCTTCTAAAGTGAAAAGAATCCACAATGAAACAAAACAACAGAGGAACCAACTCATCTCTCTTGGTTCTGTTGAAGATGAGAACCAGGATCAGGAAGGAAGCAATTCTGAAGATCCAGGAAAAAAGAGAGATGAAGAACAGAAACAAAAAGAAAGATGCCAGAAAATCAAACGGCAGAAAATAAAAACTTGCAGTTCAAAACAAAAAAGTCACAATAAAGCTCAACCAGACCAAAAATTATATCCTTGTAAAATTTGCAGTAAAAGCTATTCTCAAAAATATTCTTTGACTCGACACATGGGAGTTCACACATGTGAAAAACTGTTCACATGTTCAATCTGTGGAAAACATTACAATTCAAAGGACGCTTTAAAGGACCACAAGAGGTCTCACATGGGTGAGAAGCTTTATTCATGTGTGACCTGTGGAAAACATTTTAGTTGCAAACGTTATCTAAAATATCACACGAGAGTTCACACAGGGGAGAAACCTTTTCCATGTATGATTTGTGAAAAAAAGTTTAGTTATAACAGCGAATTAGCTGTTCACATGAGGTCTCACACAGGTGAGAAGCCTTTTTCATGTGGGATCTGTGGAAAACAATTTAGGTACAAAAGTTGTTTAAATGATCACATGAAAATTCACACAGGTGAAAAACCTTTTTCATGTACGATTTGTGAAAAAAGGTTTAGTTATAACAGCGAATTAGCTGTTCACATGAGGTCTCAC